TGAATGTACTGGGTCTCTGCCAGCCTTCCTCTCCTTTTGCACCCCCCAATCCAGAGTTTTTTTTTTCCGTTTGTCTGAATTGGCTCCTGCAGGGGGAAGGGCAGAAAGCTAGGTCCTCTGCTCTGGAAAGTTGGCCCGAGGTTTCTGGCAAGTTAACGCTTCAAATGGATACCTCTCAGCCCTTGCTCCCCTTTGGCCTTCCCAGAATCTCCCTCAATAGTTGCTCTCGCACGCGTGCCGGGACATCTTCCTCCATGACTCGGACTGGCACTTCCTTGACAATTCCTGTTGGCATCAGACTGGCTAAAAATGATGCTGTTTTCTAAAGAATTTGAACTTTTTTTTCCTTGAGACCGTGTCTCGTTCTGTTGCCCAGGCCTGAATGCAGTGGCACAATCACAGCTCACTGCAGCCCCCAACTCCTGGACTGAAGCGATCCTCCCACCTCTAGCTCCTGAGTAGCCTCGGTGACAGGCGCACGCCATCACGCCCAGCTGATTTTTTAGATCTATTTTTTGTAGAAACAGGATCTTGCTATATTGCCCAAGCTGGTTTCAAACTCCCGGTCTCAAGCAATCTTCCCGCCTCAGCCTCCCAAAGTGGTGGGATTACAGGCATGAGCCACAATGCCCAGCTGCATTTGAGCTTTTTAATAATCTCATTCCACATAGCCTTATAGATTCTGTAAATAGGGGGCCACAAAAGTAATATATTGTGTTATGGAAGATATTTTCTACTGTACTGTTTCCTAAATCACACCAATATCCTGAAGTCACACACCTTCCAAATGATCGTGATTGTCAAAATGCTTTGTAAGATGGGGCAGGGCGTGGAAACACACACACACACACACACACACACACACACACACACACACACACAGAGTATATATTTTCCTAACCTTTTCCTGGGTCCTTCCTCAGATATTTGAGTCATAGTAGAAACGGACCTAGAGTTCTTTGTGTAGGAAAGTTAAGCTTCCTGCCTGCGGTGTTCTTGCAGTTGCCTTATGAATTCACAAGCTCCAGGAGTTCTGAACGGAAGGCAGACAAGAGGCACTTTATCCAATCCCAGAAAGAATCTCTAACCATGCAACTGAGAATTCATCTAGAAAAACTTATATTTTTAATGTAAAAAAGAAATGGGGCATCCCGGACCTCACAGAGTACTGGACGTCTACAAGTGCTTTTATATTTTGTAACTGTAAAGAGGTTTCATATGCACAGAAGAGCAGTTGGAAATCTGGTCGACTGCCATAAAACAAGATGACCTTTGCATGTACAAAGATGTTGCATTCAGACTATGAAAATAGTAAATAAAGCTTTGGTGCAAGTTGCATTGGAGAAGTCGGTGCGTCCGTGTGTGAATGAATGGAGTCTCCCATGCATGGAGGCCCTGAGTGGGGCCGGCTGAGTCAGTCTGTCCTCGATGCTGAGCTGTGGACCGGCCAGCGAGAGGGCATAGCTGGGGTCCTGGGAGAGGGTGTTTATGCAGAATGGGAGGCCATGGAAACAAGGCAGGATTTCCATTCAGACTGACAAGGGGTTCAGTCCTTGTTCTGCCACCTCCTGGCTGTCGACTTCCTTTTAAGCACTGGTACTCCTTAGCTATGCAGTGGGAGTGGGGATCGGGACATTCGCAGGTAAGAGTTGAAGGTGGTCTTCTCAGCCGGGTGGATGGTGTCCTCCAGAGCATGTCTGGCAATGACAGGAGGAGAGACCATGCTCCGGGAAGGGAGTAGGGGCCAGGGATGCTGCTAGCATCCTACAGTGCACAGGACAGCTCCCACCCCAACCCCAAATGGCAGTAATGTCAAGGTTGAAAAGCCTGGATTGAGGAGATGTAGCACATCAAAGTGCTGTGTGCACAGTAGGTCCGCAGGATCCTGAAAGGTGTGACGGGAAGGGGAGCCACGCCGGCCCCGCTTCTGCCTTCCTCCTGCTATCCCAGCTGGCGGCAACTACATCCCAAATTAGGAGTCCAAGCCAACTGTTTTCTATGATCTTCAGCAGTAAGTAGCCCCTCGGCTTGCCCTGCCCAGCGTAGGCGGGATGCTGGGAAAATAACAGCTACTATGCACAGTGCTTTGCTTACGTGACCTCCCGAAATGGCTCATGTAGAGAGAAGGTTCTCCATTTATGGGTGAGGAGACAGTAGCTCTGAGACCTTCAGGAACGCCCCCAAGGTCACACAGATCTGCCAGGCTCAGAGTCCAGCTGTCATCCACAGCATCTCACCACCCTCTGCCTCTAGCTTGTAAACTCACTCCTTTGCTCCATAATCATTTTATCAATACAATCATCTTTATCAGATATCGATCACAGGCACAATTATACTTTGTTCAACACTTAATTCCTGGAAGCTGGGTGCAGGTGCCCATAGTTCTGGTTACTTGGGACACTGAGGAGAGAGGACTGCTTGAGCCCAGAAGTTTGAGTCCAGCCTGGGCAACGTAGCAAGATCCTGCCTCTAAATAAAAAAAATAAAATAAAAATGCCTGGATCTACTTTTTCTTTGGTCATAAGTAAGTTGACTGTGATAATCACTTTTATTTCTATTGAGGCTAAGATCCCAGGCCTTGGAGCAGGCCTGCCCCTTTCTCTCTGCTGGGTAATTCTGAGTAAATGAGTTCACTTCTCTGAACTCAGTTTCTCCATGTATAAAATGGAATCGTAACTCCTCCGCTAAAGGCAGCTGGGTGAGGATTCCACGCAATGCTTATGAGGCTGGCACAATGCCTTGCGTGTAGTAGGTGTTCAATAAATGGTAGCTATTATTCGTGCATGCCTTCGACATGAAGAAATTCAGTCAATGTCAGTTCTGTGACGGCATCCTATGGAAACGGTTGGGTGGATTTGCACCCAAGTTGGAGAGTATGGTCAAGGTGATCTGACCTAAATTTAGGCCACGTGGTATGTGGAAAATGGAGAGTCCGGGGTCCCTCACTTTAAGAACTAGAATCTTTCCAAAGGTTTCATGTACCCCAATAGGAAATGGTGAACCCGAGAAACCACAGAAAGGGATTTGGTGGTTGTGGGGACAGTGGAGATCTTCCCACCCTGCTGTCCCTTGCCTGGCACTGCTGAGCTTCCCACAAAGCCAGTGAGGTCTGTCTGCCCCCAGGAAGTCGTCAGAGGCTGTGGCTGAGGAGACAGGCTCTGGGAGCCTCCATGGCCCTGCTATTGGAGTGAAATGGCCTGGATGGAATTGGGTGGACAGGGAGCTGCCTCAGCAGGCTGGGATGTGCTGGGCTGTCAGAACGTGCCCATAAATAGCATGCTCCTTGCGAAGGCAGGCCGAGTCTGCAGACGGCCGTGGCTCCTCTGTTCTTCCTGAGGCTACAGCAACAGGTTCATTCGGGGATGGGTTCGGGGAGGAGAGGCAAAAGCCACCCTGGCAGGCCTGGACCTTTGCTGGTCTCTGTGGAACATGCATGGCTGACCACCTGCAAAAAAACGGGACTTCCTTAAGGTTCAGGTCCCAGTGAGAGGACCCAGCCAGCCCAGCTGGGGGTAGAACAGGGGGCCCTTGTCTGCAGTGGCCAGGGTCCACATCCCTGGACGTGTGCTTGGGGCAGGGGACCTTGAAAAACTGAGTCCCTCTGAGGGAGGGGAGTGGGCACACATGTCCCCCAAGTCCCCCAAGAGTCCTCCATGAGCTGGACCAAGCCCTGTTTGCTGATGAGGTTGGGGCAGAGAGAACAAGACAGCCTGCAGGCTGTGCCTGGTTGGGCCCATGTCCAGAGTATGTGGGCTGTGCAGCTGTGCATGCTGGAGTGGCCGTGCTGGGAGCTGTGGGTGGGTAACAGCTGGGTGTGGTGTATAGATGTAGGTGCCTTGTCCATCTGCCCCCAGGAAGTCAGAGGCTGTGGCTGGGGAGACAGCCACTGTGGATGTCTGAAATGGGCAGGTGTGCGTGTGTGTGTGTGTGTGAGAGAGAGAAGCTATCCTGTGAGCCCCCGGGTGGGATATGATGGACCATGACCATAGAAACTTTTGTGTGTGCACATGTGTGTGTGCTGATAAACAGAACAGTCCTGCGTGTGTCACGTTTGCAGCAATGATGAGAATTCTTCTGTGTGACTGTGGCAGGGGGCTGGATGGCATGTCACTGTCCCTGTAGCATGAAGGAGAAGTGTTGGTGTCTGGGTCTTAAAGTGGCTGGTGTACAGTTGTGTTCGATAAATGCTTAAGGAATGAGTAACTGAATGCAGGGAAACTGACCTGGAGCAGGTGTCCAAGGACCTGGTCTTAAAAGGGCTTTCTCTAGAGGTCTGTCTGTCCACCTCCCGACATTTGGGGTCCCCTGTCCATCCTGGTCACCCAGCCCAGATCCTGGCACTGTGTAGGTGCTCATGGAATGTTTGATGAACAATGGAACCAGCGAATGAGAGTTCCTGGAGTATGGAGGTGGGAGAGACCCTGTAGAGAAAACGCCCTGAAGCCCACCCTTTAGCCAGGGTCTGGGGTTGGTACATCTGCAGAGAGCTCTGAGGGACCTGGGTTTGGGGGAGTGTCTGCATCAGGGGAAAAAAGCACAGGCTTTGGAGCCAGGCCCAATCCAGGCCACTTCCTTACTGTATGCCTGAGGCAGTGGCCTCGCTTTGCTGAGCCTGAGTTCCCCTCTGTACAATAGGGCCCCTGTTCCTACTGTCTCAGTCCACAAGACCCATGGCAGGCACTCAGTGGGTGTTTGCTGAATGACTGAATGACCGAATCTTGATCATAAGTAATGACCGTGTCCCACGGGCAGCAAGGTTCTGTAGCTCATCCTGGACTCCAGGCACATCAACACCTGGCTTCTCCCAGTGGATCCAGTGACCCATTTCCCTTTGGTTTGAAGCCAGAGGTGTTCCCGGGGAGATGGCAGCACAGCCTGGAGCACCTGAGCAGGCTGCAGCTGGCAAGAGCCATGGAGGCCTTGGAGGCAGCTACAAGGTACTGGGCAGGGCGGGGATTAGAGGGCTCCAGGCCCAGGGCTGCTCCTGGGTCTCAGGGTCATCTTCCCAGCCAAGCAGCACCTCTGCAGAAAGAAAGAGCCATCCTTCCAACCCCCTGGGCCAAGACAAAAACGCTCCGGGTGGGTCCTCTCACTGCCACCCTCCTGTTAGAAGGGAGCTCCTCCATGAGCTCGCTGCATCTTCCCTCGCCTGCAAAACGGAAATGGTCACCCACATCCTTCCTATGTCAATGGATCAGAGGGGCCCGGGATTTTCCGGAAGCATGGTTTGAGCTTTGACTCTCCTGTCTGACCTCTCAGGGCCTCAACAGCCCCGTCTTTGAAATGGGGTTGGTGTCCAGACTTCATGTCTAGAGTTAGTGTAAAGGCTAAAAGGCATGAGTGAAGTCGGCTAGCAGAGGGAGGCACACTGGAAATCTGAGAGGTTTGAATGTATTGACTGTGCCCTTGCCAAACCATCTCTGGGGTCCTTATGGGAAGCGATTGGAGACAGAGTCTAAGGATCGCTCGAATCCCAGTGCCTCCTCTTAAAGTGCTGTGCAGCCCGAGGCAAGTATCTTACCCTTTCTGAGCTTCTTCCATCCCTTCTGTAAAATGCCTAGAACGGATGTTCCCTGGGTATCTCCTACAAAGTCAGTGTGTGTTTCTAGGTGGGCGAGAGAGGTAAAACCTTGGTCTGCCGTTGCAGCCCCTCTTTTCCTAGGCTTGAGGGAGGCACAGTTTTTTTTTCAGAGATTTATTTATCCTGCACTGGATGTTTTAAAGGGGGAAATTTCACATTAAGGGAAATGCAGATTTCTGACCGCTCTTGAAAAAATTGGAACTGGGACCGCATTCTCTCACTGCCAGAAGCAGCTTCATTTCCCCACGGTCCTCTTTTGGGTTATTTCAGTCCGCTGGGCTCTCCACCTGTCTCCTGCGGGACATTAGAGTTGAAATCTCTAGTCTAATTGGTCTCTGAAGTTCCTGAAGGCGTTTCCCTCTATGGCCATTAGAGGGCAGTGCAGGCACGCCTCGGTGCCGGCTCCAGGCTGGCGAGATGCCGAGAGGATAAAGCAGGTGGTGTCTCCCTCTGATGCCCCAGGGAGGGGCAGAAGCTGGAACGGGGAGCCCAGCAGCGGTGGGATGGTTAGGACGCTGCTCTTCCAGGTGATCGTGTACGAACTAGAGAACTTCCAAGGCAAACGCTGCGAGCTCTCGGCCGAGTGCCCCAACCTGACCGACAGCCTGCTGGAGAAGGTCGGCTCCATCCAAGTGGAATCCGGGCCGTGAGTACCTAGACCCCCCCCAGGCCCTCGACATACCCCTGAGCCTTCTAGGGGTGTAATGCCCGAGTCTGAGCTCTAGATCTGTTGTGGGGCTTTTGACAACTCCCCTGCCTTCTCGGGCCTCGTTTTCCCCATCTGCAAAACGGGAGTTGAAGAATTCTCTAGAATATTAGATTTCTGGAGCGAATCACAGGATAGCTGAGATTGGACGATCAAGGACAACCTATCACCTGGCTCAGTGACTGGAACATGGGATTCAGTATTTATAATTTTAATAATGGTTGTAACACCTAAAATTTAACGTGCATTATGTCATTGAATCCTGTGAGAGAGGTGTCATTCTTATTCCCACTTTATAGATGGGGAAACTGAGGCCCAAGTAGGTAAGTGTCCCATCTATGTCCGCAAGGCAGGCAGGTGTCCCAGCTGGGCCCTGAATTCCCACCTTTCGGTTGCACGTCCAGGCTCTGGCCCTAACCGTGTGGGGGATCTTTTTGGCAAGTTGCTTCACACACCAGGCCTCTGCTTTCTCAGCTGTCAAATGGGGATGACAATGGTACATACTTCAGAGAAAGTTTGCATGAAAATGAACGATGCAAATACATATTAATAACAATATAATACAAATAAGAAGAAAAGGAGGAGGAAGAGGTTGCTCTCACCTATGGAATACTTAACGGTGTGCCAGGCATTTTGCTAAAGACGTTTCTGAGCACCTTGCAGAGGCTAGATTCTCGATAACATTTCCTAGGATGGCTTTCTGGCCCAGAGTCTCAGACAGTTCCCGGGATGCCCCAGCAGCTCCTTTAATTACAGGTCCAGGAATTAGCACTAGGGTTGGAGGGAGGGTACAAGGTTCCAGGTCAGCACCTCTTGGACCCTTCTCTCACTAAACGTGAATCCTCCTTCAGCTGCAGCAAAAGTGACGCAGCCAGGACTTTTCCTCCCGCAGGTGGCTGGCATTTGAGAGCAGGGCCTTCCGTGGGGAGCAGTTTGTCTTGGAGAAGGGGGATTACCCTCGCTGGGATGCCTGGTCCAACAGCCGTAATAGTGACAGCCTCCTGTCCCTCCGGCCGCTGAACATTGTGAGTATGGCTCCTGCCCACTTCTGGGAGTTCCTGGAAGCAGGGTGCACCCAGAGCTGGTCAGGCAAGCCCATTGCACAAGCTGGACTGAGGGCTTGGCCCTTAGGGACTTGGCCTGGGAAGCGCCCTCATATTTCTGATCTGAACAGCTGTGTGGGATAAGAAGTGGGATATTGAATGGACATTGGGTTGGGGGTTGAGACACCAGGACTCACATCCTGAATGAAACCAGCATAGCCCTGGGACTTTTCTTTGTAACCCTACTAAAATGATGAGCCACATGGTCAGTCTCAAATCAGTATTGTTATTAAAGAAATGCAGTCCAGGAAATAACTTCAGAAAGTAACTTCAAAATACTCTAAGTTTTCCACTTGTTTCTCTAGCACCTGAAAGGGACACAGTCCACCCACAGTGACATTTTATTTATTTATTTTTGAGACAGACTCCTGCTTTGTCGCTCAGGCTGGAGTGCAGTCTCTCTCTCTCTTGTGAGACATTTTTATTTCATTTTGAGATGGTGTCTCGCTCTGTCACCCAGGCTGGAGTGCAGTGGTGTGATCTCTGCTCACTGCAACCTCTGCTTTCTGGGTTCAAGCAATTCTCTTGCCTCAGCCTCTTGAGTAGCTGGGACTACAGGCTCATGCCACCATGCTGGGCTAATTCTTGTATTTTTGGTAGAGATGGCATTTTGCCATGTTGGCCAAGCTGGTCTTGAACTACTGGCCTCAAGTGATCTGCCCGCCTTGGCCTCCCAAAGAACTGAGATCACAGGTGTGAGCCACCACACCTGGTCCAGAGCAACACTTTAAACACCACCCTTCTTCCTCCCTTGCTCCACTCACACCCAGTAGCTGCTCCAGCCCTTTCTCCTTGTCACATAACTGAGTCCTCCTTAGAGGGCAGTGGAAGAGGGGAAACTGAGAAGATTGAACTGGCCTCTGGTTAGGAGAGAGGGAGAGCTCATGTGTGGTTACATTTGATCTCCATCCATTCTCTCCAGGCCTGTTTGTCTGTCATTTAAATGAAGGGGCTGAACAAGATCTGAAAATTCCTTTCCAGTTTCCTGTTCTATGGCTCCGGATTCCTAAATCAACCAGCTTTGGAGGAATCTCCCCGTCCCTCCTCCAGTGAATTTGGAGGCAGAGGCGTCTCCTGAGTCCCTTCCCTCCTGCAGCGAGTTTGGGGGTGGGTGTTATTTTGTGGTGACTCACTGATTCTTTCCGGCATGTGGAGCCTCCTCGACCTCTGTTCTGGATATGGGAGCAGATGCTCACCTCACGATCTTGCCCTCAGGATAGCGCGGATCACAAGCTGCATCTGTTTGAGAACCCAGCTTTCAGTGGCCGCAAGATGGAGATAGTGGATGATGACGTGCCCAGCCTGTGGGCTCATGGCTTCCAGGACCGTGTGGCGAGTGTCCGCGCCATCAACGGGACGTAAGGAACCCAACCCTCACTCTTGCCCCATCTTCTGCTCGGCCATGCCTCTGGCTCCAAACAGTGCCCATAGTTCCTTACAATAGTGGTCCCTACACTCCTGTACTGTTGAGATTTCTAGGCAGCCTTGACTGAAAACAAGTGAAACTGTTCTCTCCACCTGATTCTTGAGATGTTCTTTCCCCTCACAACTCTTGTTCTTCTTACCAAGGGCCCCAGATGTATGCAGCTGTTGAGGTGTGACCCAAGTTGTACGGAGGAGAGCCGGCTTATCACCTCCCTCTTTCTAGGCTTAATACCACCCCTGATGCAGTCTTACCACCTGCTTTCTGTAGGTGGTTACATCTCGCCTGTGGGCTTATAATCTGGGGATCGGCCTTGAGAGGTGCCACTTTTCCCGGATAATAATTTATTCAACAATTTTTTTTGAGACAGGCTGGGGTCAGTGGTGCGATCTCAGCTCACTGCAGCCTCCGCCTCCTGGGTTCAAGTGATTCTCCTGCCTCAGCCTCCCGAGTAGCTGGGACTACAGGTGCATGCCACCACACCCAGCTAATTTTTTTGTATTTTTAGTAGAGATGGGGTTTCACTGTGTTAGCCAGGATGGTCTCGATCTCCTGACCTTGTGATCCACCCACCTTGGCCTCTCAATGTGCTGGGATTACAGGCGTGAGCCACCGCGCCCAGCCTATTCAACAGTTTTTTACTGAACATCTACTATATGCTGGTGTACACATACAGAGAACAACAAGAATGGCATATCCTCCGCCCTCAAAAAAATTTCACAGTCTGACAGGGAGACAGACACAGAAACAGGGATTCACAGTGTATTGTGATCAGGATTGTGACTGGGACACACAAGGGGCTCTGAGAGTCCCAGTGAGGTACTCTGTTTCAGCCTGCAGGAGTCTGGAGGCATCTAAATTGAGATGTAAGGGATACAAGTGGGAAAAAGGGGGAAGGAGAAAGATGAGGTGAGGAAGAGTGTTCCAAGCAGAAGGAATCATGCCTACAAAGGTCCACACACACAGCAGTTCCCGGGAAAGTAGAATAAGAGAGGCTGTGGTGTTGAGTGTGAATAGATATTGAGAGATAAGGCTAGAGATGCTTTTTTTTGTTTGTTTTTGAGACGGAGTTTCGCTCTTGTTACCCAGGCTGGAGTGCAATGGCGCGATCTCGGCTCACCACAACCTCCGCCTCCTGGGTTCAGGCCATTCTCCTGCCTCAGCCTCCTGAGTAGCTGGGATTACAGGCATGCGCCACCATGCCCAGCTAATTTTTTGTATTTTTAGTAGAGACGGGGTTTCACCATGTTGACCAGGATGGTCTCGATCTCTTGACCTTGTGATCCACCCGCCTTGGCCTCCCAAAGTGCTGGGTTTACAGGCGTGAGCCACCGCGCCCGGCTGAGATGCTTTGTGAAGGGTCCTATGAGCAGGGTAAGGAGTTTGGATTCATCCCAAGGGCTCTGGGGAGCTAGGAGGAATGTAGGCAGGCAGAGCACACGGTCAGTTGCTGACTGGAGGCAGGGTGGCTGGAAGCAGACCATCCACATCCCAACCTTGGTCTCCGGCAGGTGGGTTGGCTATGAGTTTCCCGGCTACCGTGGGCACCAGTACGTGTTTGAGCGGGGTGAGTACCGCCACTGGAATGAATGGGATGCCAGCCAGCCACAGCTGCAGTCTGTGCGCCGCATCCGCGACCAGAAATGGCACAAGCGAGGCTGCTTCCTCAGCAGCTGAAAGGCACCTAGACCTCAAGGACCCAGACCCACGCTGTGGGGGCTGCTAGGCCAAGAGGAGGAACCTGCAGGGCTGGGACAAGGGCCGACCTGTGCACCCTTCCCTGGAATCTGCTCAATAAAGCCTGGGGTTGGTCCCCCACCTGCCATGTTCCTCGCCCTGATCTTGTATTTGTCTGCTGGTGCATGTTTCCATCTGAATGTCTGTTTGCTCACCCATCCATCTACCCACCTGTGTGTGCATCCATTCATCTACTCATCTATCCATCCATCCATCCATGCATGCATCCACCCACCTGCCTGCCCATCCATCCATGCATGCATCCACTCACCCACCCATCTATCCATCCATCCATCCATCCATCCATCCCTCCATCCATCCATCCATGCATCCACCCACCCACCTACCCATTCATCCATCCATCCATCCACCCACCCACCCACCCATCCATCCATCCATCCATCTATCCATACATCCACCCACCCACTCATCCATCCATCTATCCATCCATCCATCCATCCATCCATGCATGCATCCACCCACCCGCCTGCTCATTCATCCATGCATGCATCCACCCACCCACCCGCCCATCCATCCATCCATCCATCCATCCATCCATCCATCCATACATCCATCCATACATACATACATCCACCCACCCACCCATCCATCCATCCATCTATCCATACATCCACCCACCCGCCCATCCATCCATCTATCCATCCACCCACCCGCCCATCCATCCATGCATGCATCCACCCACCCACCTGTTTATTCATCCATGCATGCATCCACCCACCCACCCGCCCATCCATCCATCATCCATCCATCCATCCATCCATCCATCCATCCATCCATCCATCCACCCATGCATCCACCCACCCACCCATTCATCCATGCATCCATCCATGCATCCACCCACTCATCTACCCATTCATTCATCCATCCATCTACCTACCACCCATTCATCCATCCATGCATCAGCCATCCATCCATTCATCCACCCACTTATCCATCCATCCATTCATTTATTCTTCCTTCCATCTTCCTGTGTTATTTCTTCTTTCCATTAATTCATCCATCTTTCTATCTATCTCTTATCCACTTATCCATCAATTTTTCTTTCAATCTACTTGTCCATCAGTCTGTCCATCTGATCTTCCTTCCTTCCTTCCTTCCTTCCTTCCTTCCTTCCTTCCTTCCTTCCTTCCTTCCTTCCTTCCTTCCTTTTCCCTTCCACCTCTCTGTGGGTCAGTCTCTGATGTCAATAATGTATTCAGCAAATGCCATGCCCTGTTCAAGGACTAAGGACAGCGCAACGTCCTACCCTTCTCACCTTCTATGGGAGAGACAGAAAGTAAATAAACAGGTCAATCTGGGATCTGGTGCTGGGAGGTGGTAAATGCCAAGAGCAATAAAGCTGGATAAAAAGATGGAAGTGATGGGAATGGTGGCCAGGAAACTCTGTCCAGAGGAACCGAGAGCTCAGTGAACCACCAGAACATTCCAGGAAGAGAAATAAGAGCCGCAAAGGCCCTAGGCAGGAGTGTGCTGACCTAACGGAAAGCAGCCAGGGGCCAGGAGGTCTGGAATGGAGTCAGAGACTGGGGCTAGGGGTCAGAGGGAACGGGGTCAGGTCATTTAGGGCTCCACAGACCTTAGTGGACTTTGCATGTTCTCTGAAGGAGGTGGGAGCCACGGTGCTTTGGGGTTTAACAGGATCACTCTGCGAGGGTGCAGATAATACACTTAGTGGCCAAGAGGGGATGCAGCAGAGAGTTTGGTGAGCTGTGCTGGTGCGGTCCCCCCGAGCCTCTCTCTCCCATGCCTCAGTATCTCTGTCCCCTTGCCCAGAGGTCTTCTGCAGCCTCGCCTAGGGAACTGCATGCCCATCCCACTTCCCACCACTGCTCTAGGCCCCTGTGGCTTCATCTGGGCAGTGGGAGTTGCTGGAGAGTTGAACAGGAACACTGGGGCAGTGCCAGGCATAAATGAGGCCTGTTTTTTTTTTTCTTTTGAGACAGGGTCTCGCTCAGTCGCCCAGGCTAGAGTGCAGTGGTGCGATCTCAGCCCACTGCAACCTCCACCTCCTGGGCTCAAGCAATTCTCCTGTCTCAGCCTCCTGAGTAGCTGGGACTACAGGCGCCTGCCACCATGCCCGGCTAATTTTTGTATTTTTAGTAGAGATGGGGTTTCACTATATTGGTCAGGCTGGTCTCAAACTCCTGACCTCAGGTGATTCACCCACTTCAGCCTCTCAAAGTGCTGGGATTAAAGGACGTGAGCCACCATGCCTGGCCATAAGTGAGTCTCTTCTGCCCCTGGTGGGAAGCCAGCTGAGAGCGGATTTCTGGCAGGCATGCTCCAGAACCACCCCTCACCTGTCCCACCTCCAAGCATCAGTTCCCTGACTTTGTCCCCCTGTTGTGCCTGCAGCCCGTCCCAGCGGCTGATGCAGCTGGTGTGTGGGAGGCCTAAGGGGGCCTCAGGAAGGCATTGAAAAGGATATAGTAATTTTCAGTTACTTTAACCTGCATATTTTAAAAACATGCACAGGAGATAAATCACCTTGACATTTTCCGAGCGTATGGGAGAACTGGGCTGGGCGTCAGGGTCAGATGGGGCTGGGGCACCCAGCGATGAGGAAGGCAGGGGTGCCCAGCAGTGAGACAGATGGATTGCCCACCCCTTTCTCCTCCCTGGATCTAGCCCTTCCTCCCTTTCGCAAGGAGGGGCCTTGCCATGCTTTATTTTACTTTATTTTTTTGAGATGGGTCTTGCGCTGTCACCCGGCTGGAGTGCAGTGGCATGATCATAGCTCACTGTAGCCTCCAACTCCCGGTCTCCAGAGATCCTCCCAAAGCACTGGGATTGCAGTTGCATTCCACCATGCCCAGCTAATATTTAAAATGTGTTTTTTTGTAGAGATGAGGGTCTTGTTGTATTGCCCAGGTTTGTTTTGAACTCCTAGCCTCAAGAGATCTTCCCATCTCTGCCTCCCAAAGTGTTGGGAGAATCATAGGCATAAACCAGATGGCTCGCAGTCTGTCATGCTTTTTTTTTTTTTGAGATGAAATCTGATTCTGTCACCCAGGCTGAAGTGCAATGGCGTGATCTCCGCTCACTGCAACCTCCGCCTCTCAGGTTAAAGCGATTCTCCTGCCTCAATCTCCTGAGTAGCTGGGATTACAGGCACATGCCACCACACCCAGCTAATTTTTATATTTTCAGTAGAGACAGGCTTTCACCGTGTTGGCCAGGCTGGTCTTGAACTCCTGACCTCATGATCCAACCATCCTTTGGCCTCCCAAAGTGCTGGGATTACAGGCATGAGCTGCCGCATCCGGCCTGTCGTGCTTTATAAATCAGTGCTTACTCCATCTCATTGAACGCTAAGAATGTCATTGGGAGGTAGGTGGGGTTATAATCTTATTTAACAGATGAAGAAACGGGCTCGGGGAGGCAGTGTCACCTTCCTAGAGCCACACAGATAAGAAGCGGTAGAACTGAGACCTGAGTCCTGAGTACTGACCCCAGAAATTCCATCCCTGAGTGCCACGCACTCTGATGTATCCCTCAAGGACAGGAAGTCACCAGGGAAGTATAGACGAAAATAACAACAGGAGTTGCCGCAGAAACAAAGGTAATAATGGCTGCCGCTGTGGAGCTGCTGCTAAACCCCAAGCTCATTATTGGATGCTTTAGAGTTTATTCTCAACTCTACAGACAGGCAATAGTGATCCTCACATGCAGAGAGAGAAACTGAGGCCCAGAACTGAAGCAAATTGCCCCAAGTGCCACAGCTCTTAACTGGTGGGACGAGGACTCACATTCAGGTCTGTTTCCGAAGCCCGTTTCTCTGTATTCATCAGCTGTTGATTCTGTGTTCGGCCAACCTAATGCCACTACAGGTGTGGGCAGTGACTACATTTATTGAGCATCTACAATAGTCTAGGCACCAGGCCAGAAGCTGTCCATGCCTATCTCAGTTAACACCGAGAGGGCCCATGACTGGCTCCTGGATAACAGGAAGGCTTACAGGGAGACTGGCTCAAGTGTGAGTCAGTGTGCCCACCACGTGCCCACTCCCAGGCCAAACCCAGTCCCAGGGTCTGGAGTTGGGTTGATTCCGGAGATGGGGTTCAGCTGGACTGCCAGGTTCATGGCAGCCCCAGGCAGTCACTGATGTCCAAGTGACTCTTGTTCTTTGCAAGTACAGCCATACATTGTCCTGTGCAGTCCTCAGCTCCAAGAGGCTCAGAGAGGGGCAGCCAACTACTGAGGTCACACAGCCAGGGAGGGGCAGAACTGGGATTTGACGCCAGGCCTAACTCCAAAAGCCTGATCTTAGCCCCAACCTAGACTCAAATTTTGTCTTCTACAGGGCAGAGCCTGAGAGTGACAGTGAAGCAAGAATATCCCCCAGTTACAATATATTGAGTGTTAGCGCCAAGAGATCACTTTCCCAGCGTAATTGAGAGGCAGTGTTGCTCAGCGGTTGCAGGTAGTAGCGTCAAGTGATCGGAAGCAGAGTTAGGCCCTTGATTTACACCACCTGGTTTTCTTTCCAGGCTCCACCACTCACTGTGTGTCTTTGGGCAAATCACTTAACCTCTCTGTGCTTCTGTGGGCCCATCTGTAACATGGAGTTAATAATGCTACCTATCTCATGAGGTGGTTGCCATAGTAACCTGAGTTTTGCAGAAAGGGCTTAGAACAACGGGTAAAACAAAGGATGTGCTTGGAAGTGCTCACTGTCCTCTTCTCATGATCATTTTTTGATGATGAGGAGTAGGACAGCAGACAGGCTTCCAGAGCTCCGTACTGGACACAAGATGCTGGAGACAGGCTCTGTAGTCATATGGAGAAGAGAGACTTTGCAGTTACTCAATAATGGGGGTTTATTCTAGGGAATTAGAAAACTAGGCTACATGGCCACACTCAGAGAATCCAAGCGAAAGCCCTACAAAGAGGCTTCATGGTGGGGGCGGGGGCAGGACCCAGACAGTGAACAGGGATCATGGAGAGAGGAACTGGAGCCTGAGAGCCCTTGGGAACTGGCAGCTGGCTCTGTGGTCACCTACCCAGGGATCCACCATTAGAGGACTCAGCAAGTGCATTCCCCAAGTCTTGGCTCTCTTGGGGCAA